GTTTAACGCATATTGTCCGCGATAGCATGTATCACGCAATTTCATATACGGTAAAGGGAAACAAAATAAATTAAACAATTGTTGCACGCCCTGCTGCACACTGCCTGACGTCAGGAATACCGAGCGGTACAACTGAAATACTGAACGTCTCACTTTATTTGTACACGACAAAATGCCTAACTCCCAACAAAGTCAAGAATCGGACCAGCTGAAATACTATTTAGACATTATGAGTTGAAGCAGACCTTCATGCGTTTTAACGTAAATACCTGTCCGCTTTTCAGAGAGCTATAGGGTTTAAAACAGTAATGGTTTCTATATATACTTCGGAGCTTGAGGGGACCGTAGGAAAACATAAATATTGGATCGTGCGTTTCAAGCTCATATTGTTTACGTGGGTGCATTCAGAAGCAGGATGAATATCCAACCGCGCTGAAGAACAAAGTTTCAGGGATAACCCTTACAAGACAAAGCAGGCGCTCTCTCGTAAAAGACGTTTTTACATGCAAAATACAAAGGGTAGAAACAACGCACAAAATGCAGGCGAGCTGGTGAACACTCAACTTCTTGGACGCCCGATACTAGGAACAAAGGACGAATAACACAAACACAAAAAAGGTCTCTTTGTGTGTTGTCCACTTTTTGGTTCCTAGTGTTGGGTGGTCAAGATGTGCACAGGGTGATTTAGGTAGTTTAATAAAAGAAGGGTTCTATTTCTGCACTGCTTTTCTACGGGCTTGGTCAAAGTGCGCCTTGTTGTTTTATGCCTAGCCAGACGTCGGGGTCTCTCTAATCCGGTCTCTCTTTGGCACGTCCAGCTCGGTCACACTCAACATGTCACCGCTAGTGTTCAAATATACTGATGTGGGTGGTCTCATTTGAATTCGGCCACCCTTGTCGAGGTGGGTTCTCAGAATTATATTTAAAAGATATATGTAAAATCCAAAGCGCTGTAATAAACAAAACTCTCTTTAAGAACAAATAAAAAGATGTAGTTCGAGAGCAGAAAAAAAATGTACATATATGAACATACATATATATATATAGAGAGAGAGAGAGAGGAAGAGAGATAGAGAAAAAAGATACTGTTTCGTAGGACGACGAAAAGTGCATAGGAAAGTACACTGTAAAAAATAACTGTGGAAAAAAACAGAAAACGCTTGGCAAGTTTCTTGCCACGAATTTTCTGTTTTCGTCTGTTTCCCTGTTTTCATACTTTCCGTTAAAATCATAGCATTTCCTGTTCTTGGTTTTCTGTAAAAAAAATAGACTTTCTGTTGTCAAATTTTGCGAAAAACCGGTTTCTGTTAAAACAAAGAGTGTCTGTTCTGGAACTTTGTAAAAAGATCGGCTTTCTGTAGTCGAATATTTTGAAAACACCGGCTTTTGTTAAAAGAAGGATTGTCTGTTATGGAACTTTGTAAAAAAATCGACACTCTGTTTTGCGGGAAAATGATTTCTGTTAAAAGAATGGTTGTCTGTTCTGGGACTCTGTAAAAAGATCGACTTTCTATTTTTAAATGTTGTTTAAAAACAGTTTTTTTTTCGAAAAGTAAACAGAGTTTCTGTTCTGGGACTCTGTAAAAAGATAGACTTTCTATTTTTGAATATCGTGAAAAAAAAGTTTATTTTGAAAAGGAAACAGTTTCTGTTCTACACCTTTGTAAAAAGACAACTTAAAAAGATTTTTAACAAGAAAGTTAGTTTCCATTAAAATATGTAACAGGGTTTACGTAATAAAAATAACTGTCCCAGAGCATCGAGAAAAATATGTTAAGCCCGAGTCCTACTAGAGCGACATAAGCAACAGCAGACACAGACAAAACACGATTGCATGCAGCATCAATGCAAAGCGAAGTTTGGCATGCTTGCAATCAGTCATGCCTCGTTCACGGAGCACACTGAGCTCGGGAATGAAGCTCGAGTGATTCAAGCCTGCCAAAGATAACACCTGTGTGAATGCTGGAGGTTTCTCAGAGTCGGCTGTTGCTGTCTGTCGCCTTTGCGGGAGCAGTACACAAAGAAACATGTACAACAGAAAGTGAGAGGGTAATGTCAAATTTTCTTGTAAGGTAGAGCATATACTTACTCGCTACCGATTATCGACATATTCTTAAACATTTGCACTTGTTTTAACAAGGCCTCCATTATTATTCAGTCTTTCTCTATTGCTGAGTAAGGCGCTGAACTCCAGTCCTGTAAAAGTCCTTGCTTCGACTTGGCAGATTGGCATGCAGTTCCAGATCATCAACATCCAGAAAGTGGCATCTTCCGAGTGCGTTTGTTAACAACCTCTTGTTTCGCCTAGACTCGGACTACATTTCTCGGAAGACAAGCCGACACTGCACACGAGTCTCGAAGTAGGAGTAACGACCTCTACAGGGGCGGAATTGAGTCTTACTTTGCAATGTGAATGTGAAGAGTTTGAATAGTTATTGATAAATTACTAACTGCCTGAGAGAAACATGGCAATAATTTATTTGATGAATAAATACGCTATATCTTGCGACAAAGCATTTTGAGGCCTTATAGTCTTATACTTGCCCTTATACATTGTTACCGCACCCTGCATACAGAATACGGCAATAGTTACTGTATTCTGTAGACGTGTGAAAGAAACATGTTTTCAAATTGGGCTCATCAACCAACATTTTGCAAGCTTCAAAAGCTCGCAGGCTTGCAGCTTTTTAGAGGGTTATTTTTAATTAGCCGAAATTCAAATTAAGTATAATGTTTCTGAGATCAACTTGAGAACTCTTTTTTTTCTGTGGCACAGAAATGTCAGTGAGTTCAAATATTCCAGATGAATTGAAATAAACCACTGATTATTTTGGGAACACGCCATATTTACACCTTCCATACCTTCCTGGACCTTTTAACGCCGGGGTTTAGCGATGAAAGAAGTCGTCAAACTTGTTAAAGAAAGAAAACATGAGATATTGTAATATTTGTAAATAACCACTTTATTTCTTGCATTCGCCACGCTCTGGCTCTGAACAGATGGCTTCTCTTCAACAGACTATTAGAAACTGCAGTTTTATTTCTTAACTTTGGCCCGCTTGGGGCTCAGACTAAATGGAATTTATTGAACATACCTACTTCGACTCTTAACTCTGCCCTCTCTCTTGGGCTCTTCACGGTACACTTCCTGAGTATATACCTGGTATTCTTTTTATGGACAAAAATATTGAAGAGAACTTGCACCAGGGAAATCTTGATAGTGCCATTAGTTTGCTTGACTTGGCGGCCACTAGGAACAACAGATGTTTTAATTAACCTTTTCGTTAAAAAATAAGCGTATAGCTACAATTAGAAACTTGATAAGCATCGTGAGAAACCACTAAATCATTCAAATTTAGAGACTAGGAGCACATGTATTGTTTCTCTGGCCTGCAAATCTGTCGTGACCTCCAAGTTTTTCCGTTTCATCCACATTTTCGCTTTGCCAGGCTTGCGCCTGTATGAAAAGTGGTACCTTTTGTGAAATATCACACTTCGTACTTCTAAAATTAACAGATTTAGTGATTTCCGATTATGCCCAGCAAGTCTCTAAAACTGGTTAATATCATTGTATGCAAAACTATTTTAAAACTTAATTATCCTAAGCACTGCATGCCTTATTAAATGGTTCTCTTGACTACGACCAATGGGGTGCCCACCCTATTTCTGTGAGGTGCATAGATTTTACATTAAATGAATGTGAAAACAATGCACGTTCTCCCAGCATTTCTAATGAACAGATTTAGTGGCTTTCGACTATGGCCAGCAAGTTTCTAATTGCAAGAATATGGCTCCGTTTACTAATTAGAAATTAATTTAAAATATATTAATTAGCCACCTACTTCCACAAACAACTTTGTAGTGCCCGCTAAGTAGAGTAAGCTGATTGCGAAATGAAGTTACCTAATGAAACTTATTGTTTTGAAAACTTAGGGCAGCTAAAACCAAATACCCAGTGTAGTGATGAAAATAATTCCTGGAGAAGGGGAACAAGGACAAAGGACAAACACAAATCCCCAAACACAGCTAGGTGACTGGTGAGCAACCGAAAAAATCCGCCTGGTCCTGGTATCGAACCCGGGACCTCTCCATTACAGGTGGAGCGCTCTACGCACTGAGCTAACCAGGGGTTAGACGTCAATAGAGCAAACGGGTTTTATCAGCTGCCACCAGTCTAACACCAACGAGGGTGAAGCTTGCAATTTAAGGTTATAATTATAATGTAATACATGCAAAGGTGCAAGCGAGCTGCACAAGAATGATGAAAATAATCCCTGGAGAAGGGAAACAAGAAGGACAAAGGACAAACACAAACCCGTTTCCTCTACTGACGTCTAACCCTTGGTTAGCTCAGTTGGTAGAGCGCTTCACCTGTAATGGAGAGGTCCCGGGTTCGATACCAGGACCAGGCGGATCTTTTCGGTCGCTCACCAGTCACCTAACTGTGTTTGGGGATTTCTGTTTGTCCTTCTTGTTCCTCTTCTCCAGGAATTATTTTCATCATTCTTGTCCAGCTCGCTTGCACCCTTGCATTATAATTAAACCCAGTGTAAGGTGGCTTAAATAGTGGTAGGCTGTAAATTGGTACCTAGAAATTAGCTTCTGCACACAGCTATATCAAATTTTAACAAACATGTATTTTAATGGCACTAGTTATCTTGCAGACGTGCATTTCTATGGTGGGCAACGACACAGACAACCAAGTCGCATCGGCATTTGACCGCTCGATTCGACCCGCGCCCGTTGTGAAATGTGTCTTCCATTTTATGTGAAATGCGAGTACTCATTTCGCATCGGGCTCTAGCCGCTCACTGCGACTCGGTCGCCTGCATTGGTGCCCGCCATAGAGGCTACAAGGATTAATGTCCTTATTTCTCACAGAAATGGATCTATGCTTTAGAAGTTCACAAGGTAATGTGCACCACTAGAGTAGACGTGTGGTAAAAATTCAGAAGCCAATTTATCCGGTACAATGGACAGCGTACCGCTCTATTTATGCCACCTTTTTATTCCTTCCCTTTGCCTTGCTTGGGCTTAAAGATGACATTTCTGGAACATACATTTTATTTAAATCAGGAAGGCTTTAAGACTGTTTCAGCTTAAAAGGCATATTCCTCCAGGGAAGCCATCAGCTTGGCAACCGCGGGTGACACACAGTGTTGCTTCTTCTTCTTTTTAAGAATCTTGGTGCCCCTCGGTGGGTTGATGCTTGCAATACCCCTGAAATCAAACAAACATATCTTTTTACTATAGCATTGTTCCCCATAAAACATGTATTATTTAAATACACAGGGAGGTTATGGAATGCTGGCCAAAACTTTCCTACAAAAACTATGCGTTACATAGGAAAAATATGGATGCGATGTTAGTGAGTGCCAACGACCGATTTGGCAGATGTCCATCATATGGATAATGATACATTCATTTCCAATAAGGACACCAAAGTGTTGTGAACCAGATATCTGGGTTGCCGCCATGTTCAAGATGTTTGAACCGCCGGCGGGAATTACGCGCACCGCCACATATTAATAAGTAATGATTTTAGGGAAAAGTTCGCCTGGTCGCTTAATAAGGTACACAGGTTGTTACAGTTGTCTGGAACCAAGCTTAAAAAAAGCGGAGCATTACAGGCGAATGGAACCAACTGCATTTCTTAGCACACGTCTCGCCAGGGCCAATATCTTTTTTATTGTGCCTAATTAAATAATTACGACTAATAACTTTGTTCTGTAAATATTTAAAGGAAATTGAAGGTGTCGATCGGAATGTTGTAGAGAGCCTGAATAAACACCCAATGGAGGAGTTTGCAATGTGGTGCACCTTGAGTGCTTCTTTTATCCAACCCTAAAGAAAACGCCCGCTCGCAGCGCACGCGTGCGCTGCGATTAGGGGAGTGCAATGTCATGTGGTATTCTTTGCATTTTGTAGGCGTTCTTTGAAGGCTGGAGAAAAGAACCAGGCAAAGTGTAATATGGTGCAAGCACCTCCATCGAGGGCTCTTTAAAGCTCTCTACAAGCTCCCAATTGACACTTTTGCCCTTAAACCAATATTTAATCAATTAGCTTCAATGAATTAGTTTCATCAGGCTCAACAAAACAATACTCTCTTTTGCAAGATGCCTGCTAACAAATACAGTTCGTTTCAATCGCTTAGAGTGATCCCTTTTTGTTTAAAGCTTGCTTGATAAATAAAACAGTGTAAACGTAAATGAGAACAAAACCCTACTCCCGGACTTGCCGAACAATAAATTGTTTAATGTGTGCCAAGGAATAAGACATTTTGTGTAAGAAAAGGAATTTCTCTAAAACAGCCTTAACAAAAATGCTGGCTAGAGAAGCATGGTAATTGTGTTAATCAGCCATGTTTACATTTCAATGAACACTTGTGTTACTTTTATTCGGGAGATTTTGTTCCAGGTGTTTGTCTACACAACTATTTCATGTTTCAGGTATATCAGTAGAAAAAAATGGTAACCTCTGCCAGTCGATCGACTTATTGAGCCTTCAAAGAGGTAGTTTTGTCGGGCACTTTCGCACCGCTTGGGGAGTTCCATCCTGTTTCGCGAGTTTGAGTCAACTGGCTTGTTTCATAATTTACAGATGTGCAATCTAAAAGTGCACGTCTGTTCTTCCATCCCCCTTTAGTCGTTTAAATGTATATTAGTTGTCATTCTCTAGAAAATAAACTCAGCTGCAGTGGAGACTTCATACTGTTACCTTTGTTTCTCGCCATCCTAGCATCACAGTGTAAACTAGAATGTGGACAGTGAGAGCATGGGGTGTTGTGAAGCTGAAGTGCTGATGGTGACACTGGCACTGACTTTAAAATATTTTACTATTACCTTGGACGTGCAAGTTTCCTTTGGCACGTTTCTCAAGAATATTTAATGACAGCATAGAGCACAGAGGCACAAAATATATAGCTTCTCTGGCGGAGTGCTTAATATTGAGAATGAAAACAATATAGTGTCCACGATATTCCTTGCCATCTGAAAACAATAACTCTTGCACGAGGTGTGCAGTAATTACGGATCAGGGCTTGACACAAAAGAGAGCACGCTGCTATCGATACATTTACAGGAGGTGGAAGCCATGCATTTTCTGGGCATATAAACGGTCTCCCTTTCACCATGTGCAGCTGAAATGCCCTTCAATCCAATTGATGAAGTTGTGTGCAAATGAGACTAGACTGCACCCACTGATGAGTGTAATGAGCGTGGTGAGATGGGTTTGTGTATGTGTGCGTGTGCATGCGTGTGTGCGCACGCGCATGTTTGCATGTGTGCGCGTGCGTGCGTGTGTTTGTGCGTGAGGAGGGAGGGTGGTCGCCGGACCACATTGCAGTATTTTAGGGCTTCCGGGACTGGAAAATTGCTTACTTATGGTTTACACTATGCTATTTTCGAGCCAACTAGCCCAAGATAAAAAATGACATAGTTCATCTTTTTTGTTTTCAACAACAACAATTATTTCTCCCACGACATGTATGGGGTTAGACTTTCATCACAAAATGATTAACATCACTCACAAAACGGTCTTAAAAACTGACCTCATTTGTGCAAAAAAAATTTCCTTTATACACTATATCGTTGTGAATATGCCATTCAGCTTTGTGGCCCCTGAGAAGTAATTTCTGTAGTTAGAATAATCCAAATGAAACAATAAAAAACCTTAGCTTGCGGTCTTGGCATGTCAAATCAAAGCATTGTAAGAAATCAGCAGGCACTGGGGTTCTTCCAATGGAAGCTATGTTTTGTGTAAAGGATACATCTTTCATATGACAAGCAAATCAAATTTAACAATAAAAGCAGGGGTGATGAAGCACTTACCTTTGAATAAATTCAAGTGTAAGGCCCACTTCTTCTGGGAACGAAATGTTCAACACAAAATAGAGCAGGAACATCAACTTGAATGAGCCTGCCCTGTTGCTTGTGGTCATCACCGGCACTGTGTCAACACAAATTGTGAACTCGCTTGCTGTGTAGTTGTTGGCTCCTATAAATAACAATTGATGCAGTATGAGAACAGAACTCGTCCACCTTCATGCTTCGGGCCAGAATTTGAAAGCACATACTGACCTTTAACACATATGATCGGGCTTGGGTCCATATCACCCAGATCCGAGTCAGTGGCATTCTCCTGAAAGACAAAGAGTAAACAAAAATGAGGACAGACGACCTAATGTCCTTTTAGTATGACCCGTGCTATGTCTAAGCCCTTGGGTCTAATTTGCTTTTGCCACATTTAGAGGGCAAGCTACTTGAATGTTTTCAAGAATTCTACATAAACAAACCATTTTGAACAATTCAAAGGTACTGCCTGACCGCTGTATAATTTGTTTAGAAAACAGAGTATGCCTTATGATGTATGCGGCTCAATACTGATAAATTAAAAGCAGAACTAGAGTCCCTATGGACAATGTTGCTGAATTGTTGTCGTCTCTTCGATGATATTGCCACAAGATGCTAACACAATCTCATAAGTTGACAGATGCACTAGCGGAGCACGAAGATCGTCAGTTGCTTTCACAAAAAAAAACATACACTCAAAGGTGTTCTCATTTGCAAAACCACAGATAATTCGCAAAGCTCAGAAAATGTTGGGTTCAATCTGGGCTATCCCAAAGCGATGATTCCAAGTGAAAAAGAAATACCAAAACGAAAATGCACCATTGATGTGGCATATTGTGACATGATGTAAGCTATATATATACTCGATATCGCTGCACTTTTCATCATGTGCTAAATTACCAGGTTATGCAGGCTTCGCTCATGGGGAACTCTGGCGGGCAAAGTTCAATTACAGATAAGCCAAATGGCATTGCTAAAATGTATTTAATTTTTTTAATTGCAAAAATTTCAGACGTTTATTTTCAACACTTTTTGTTCCATGGCATCAATTCCACAATTTACACGTTTTTGCCCAGACTCCTATGCTCCTAGTTCAGCACCTGCGCCTACAGTAGTCCCAATCTCCAATATTGGCAGCCATTCGAACAATCAGGCTAGAGGACAAATATATTCTTTTTTCGTTGGTTGATTTCGATGATAAGATGAATTGAAGCAATTAAAGAGGCCATTTTTTTTGCAGTGAGGATATTAGGCACAGTACAGAATCCAATAATTTCAGATGACTAAAAAGGTTGGCATTCACATACGAACCAAGCGATCGCTTTCTTGCATCATCACAGGACACCAGAGTGCAAAGTCTCGTATGAAAGAAACGCGAATATCGGAGCAACATGTAGCTTACCCTCATCATTGTGCAGCGACGGTTGTCAGCGAAAACTATCATGTGCTTCGAGAATTGTGATGATACCAAATGGCCGTTGCTTTCAGAAAATAATTTGAGCTGCGATTTTGATTCAGTTTTCCACCACATTGGGCGCCGAAGCGCAGCCTTTAAATTCCGTTTCATTTAAATTGCATGAACGTCCATATTATCAGTATCTAGAGATATCTAGACGCTGACTGCTGGTGCGTCTTAGTGAGAGAAAAAAAGAAATGAAAGCTTCGTTAGAAATAACACAAAAATGTAAAAACTTATGAGTTTACGTAGCATCCAACGCTTCTGCTGTTTTTTAACCGAAGATTAAGCAAAAACAATTCATCATTGCACCCCCATCCCCAAAAGAGCTGTGAGAGAGCAAAAAAGAATTGGAGAACGGCATTTTGCTTTTATTATTCATATGCTCACAAACCTAGCAATAAGAACAGTCAGGTCACAATATCGATGTGAAGGTAATCTCATGTGCATTCAGTACGTCTCGTCTCAGGGCATTCAAACCTAGGCGAAGGCATATTGCTTAGGACAGAACGTGGTGAAAAACTAAACCAAAGGCCACTTGGCATTATTACCCTCGAAATGCGTAAGAACTTCCGCTGACGACCGTTCAGTGGCGCGACGGGTGCAAAAGGCTGTTGGTTTGTTGTTTGCACATCTTTCGTTCCAGACCACGCTGTCATCCTCGATATGAGGGTGAATTAACATGCAGCTGTCGACCAATCGGCACTGCAAGCTCAGGCTAGCAGCGCCTTCACACCTAACGGAGAGAGTAAGCCCTGGCACGAAAAGAACTGACACGTTGTTGCTATATGTTGTTTTTGTGCAAGGTAGAGAATTCGATAAATGACGCACCTTCTCAAGCGCATGTAGTGAGGATTAGTGCAAGAAAACGCAGACGCCTAAAGCACCGTTTAGCGCCATTTCTTTTTGTGTTCCGAAAAAGCACAACAAAGCCTCTTCTTTATCTTATTCATGAAATGTTAAACTCGAATTACAGATGATACAATTGAAATTCATTTTTAACTCAGTAAGGGGGACTTGGATTTGTTCTCTAATTTTTAACGTTTAAAAGTGGTTCTCATCATGCTAAAGTCACAAAAGAAGAAGAAGAAACTTAGGTGTTTAATGGCACAGCGGCAACTAAGGCCATAGTGTGCCAAACACAAGGTAAGTGAAAGGCAATACTGAAAAGACCTATAGTAGGTAGTTCCATCTTAAAACTATGGAAAATAAATGATTAAAACCTTACAAGATACAGGCCTATAAAGGCCTCCAGAAATTTTAACCAATGCTCCACTAACCAGAGGCACTCTAAAGGAATTTCATTCACGCAAGGAAGTATGGAAAATGTGCCGACGATGCAAGATCGCCGGCTCTCTGCCACCACTAATTTTCAGGTAAACGTAATAGAAAAGAAAACAAACTAAAATTCATATTTTTGAAAACCGGAGACGACGGACGAAGAAGGGGACAACACACAAAACGTCTCAAACGCAGCTACTCAATTTTATTTGAAGAGTCGTTTATATAGCATCTCTCCCACACGTCTTCCGGAACTTCCCACGTCACAGCAACTTTTAGCCAGGGTACATCTCGTCTTGACCCTTTTTCTTTCTCTCTCTCTCTCTTATCACCTCACTTAGTTTGTACAAAGCATTGCAATACAAGCCCCATCATCACACCCGCTAAAGTCGGACCCAAGGAACCACACCTTCACACCACACGTAACCTAACTGGCAAAAAAAAATTGATAACAACACAAATCTTTTTGGGTCGCTTCGTCTAGTCTGATAACAATTCAAATCTCCGAACTCCCTTCATTGTCGCAACCCCCGAAGGTCGGACCCAACGCACACACCTTCACACAAGCTGCAAGGCCTAACTCGCATCTCGTATCACGCACAAGCACGCCGCAATAAAACATACAAAAAAAAATACAACATTTACATAGCCGATGTAGGATGCCAATGCTATTTAAAAACTTAAAAACTTGTTGGTGCGGCACAAGAGGTTCATCACCCAATAATAATGCCGGGTGGAACGGGACGCGATTCCGGAAAAAGGTAGAGAAAAAAGTGGTGCGTTCATGATGGTACTTAGGACATACAATAAGAATATGCAAGACGCTCAAAAACTCGTTACAGTGTTCACATTTCGGAGCTGCCTCTGCCCGTAGGAGGTAGCCATGCGTGAGATGGGTGTGTCCCAGTCTCAGACGACAGAGCACAACCTCAAAGAAGCGCTCCCTGTGTCGGCAACTTGCCCATTCCCGCAGGGTAGGTTTCACACAATGAAGCTTGTTGTGTATTTCCGTGTCCCATTCTAACTGCCACTTTTTCTGGATTGCTTTTTTAAGACTGTGTTTGTAATCAGTGTACGGAATGTCCTTGATATCCACTTGCCTCTCAATGCAGGTACTGGCAGCTCTATCAGCATCCTCATTTCCTTGAATACCGACGTGACAGGCACCCAATAGAAATTAATGTGTAAATCTGATTTTGCTGCAGTGTGCACAATGTTCCGGAGCCTAGTAACGAAGGTATTCTTTGGTACTTCCAAAGAAAGAAGTGCCTTTAAAGCGCTGAGAGAATCAGAGTAGATAACAGAATGCTGGATAGCATTTTCTATAATGAATTCAACAGCTAAAATTAAAGCATATAATTCTGCAGTAAATATTGAGGCTCTGGCATCAAGACGCCTAACAACCTTCCATGTCTCGCTTATAACAGCACAACCGGCAGCACAGTCACTCTTAGTGCCATCTGTGAAGAAACTCCTATAGTCACTGTACGTATAAGCCACCTGGGAAAACTCCTGCTGCAGGGCAGCAACAGGAGTTTGCCGCTTATTATATTTGATCAAAGTAAAATTGATTATGGGTGCTACGCACTCCCAAGGAGCCACTGCCAGTGGTAGTTGGGCAACTAGGCTGAAACTGTCAAGGTAGTAAGCCTGTGAATATGTTTAAATTCTCTGCGTAAAAGGGGGTACGACAGATGGCTTGTTCTGGAATGTAGTTTCATAGCGAGAATCCTGAATTGCTTCCTGGATCGGATGAGAAGGGACAGAGCGAATTCTTAATGCATACTGGAAGCCTAAATAAAACCCTCTTTTTTCAAGTGAATATTCATTACTCTCAGCATATAGGCTAGGAATAGGGGACGTCCGAAAAGCACCAGTGGAAAGCCTCAGACTTTGATGGTGGATCGGGTCCAACACCTGAAGGGTAGATTGACGTGCCGATCCATACACTACACATCCGTAATCCGATTTTGAAAGAACCAAGAAGCGATAGAGACGAAGGAGACATTCCCGTTCGCTACCCCAAGACTTGTGTGAAAGCACCTTTAGGAGGTTCATTGACCTTGAGCATTTCTGTTTCAGGTAAAGTACATGACTACGAAAATTCAACTTTTTATCAAATATCACTCCTAGGAACTTGTGTTCATTACGAACAGGAATTCCCTGCCCCCTTAAGGTCAGACTAGGCTCTAGGATCATGCCCCTACGTAATGAAAAGCTGACACATACTGACTTCTCTGGTGAAAAACTAAACCCATTGGCATCAGCCCACCTCATCAGACTATTAATTCCCAGCTGAAGTTGTCTCTCGCAGACCGAAATGTTACACGAACAGCAAGAGATCTGCAAGTCATCCACGTAAAGAGAATAGGAAAGTGATTGTGGGATAGACTTTCCAATAGAGTTCATTTTTATTAAAAATAGTGTTATGCTAAGAACACCACCTTGTGGAACTCCATTCTCTTGGACAAAACTACGAGAGAAGGTTGTACCAAGCTTGACATGAAAGTATCTGTCTTCCAAAAAGCTTTTGATGAGTGAGAGCATTCGGCCACGAATTCCGTACGAGACAAGATCGTTCAAAATTCCATACCTCCATGTTGTGTCATAAGCCTTCTGTATATCAAAGAAGACAGAAACACGATGCTGTCTATTAACAAAAGCCTCACGAATAGTTTTCTCAAGTCGTACGAGGTGGTCCACCGTTGATCTGTGGGCACGAAAACCGCACTGAAACTTGTCGAGGAGGTTATTTTCCTCTAAAAAATGGACCAATCTTGAGTTTACCATTTGTTCAAAGGTTTTCCCTAAGGAACTTGTGAGGGCTATGGGCCGGTAACTTGAGGGTAATGATGGATCTTTTCCTTGCTTGAGGAGCGGGATAACCTCAGCTCTTTTCCAAGAATCTGGTAAAACCCCTTCTCTCCAGATCTGGTTAAAAAAGCTTAAAAGCACCTGCAGGGTATTGGAATGCAAATGCTTGAGCATACAGTAGTGAATTCGATCTGGTCCCGGGGACGTATTTTTACTTTTATTTAATGCTGCCTGTAACTCTCGAAAAGTAAAAAATCTATTATAGGGTTCTTGTGGCCCTCCAGAGCAATTTATTCTCTTCTTCTCTATAACACTTCTATGCTTTAAAAATGCAGCCCAGTAATGCGATGAACCTGATACAGATGCGAAGTGCTCCCCTAGAATATTGGCCTGCTCCTCAAGACTAGGCAGTACACCACCTGGCAGAACGAAAAGCGGTATGGAGAAGGCTCGATAATCCCCATTAATCTTGTGCACTTTTTCCCAGACAACTTTTACACTGGTGTGACTATTAACGGAGGAGATGTATTTCTTCCATGTCGTCTTTTTTGATTGACGACGGACATATCGAGCCTTCGCCCGAGCCTGTTTGAAGGCTAAAACATTTGGAGGGGTCGGGTACCGGCGTAGCACATCCCATGAATAATTTTGTTTTTTTCGAGTCTCACTGCACTCCTTAGTCCACCAAGGTTTTGGCTTAACTGGAAGGCGTGTAGAAGACTGCGGAATAGCTTTATGAGCTGCCTCAATTATAGAGGCAGTAAGGCATTTGCAGGCATCATTTACATCCAAGCCAACTAAAGTTTCAGGGTTAATCTCAGATGCACTTTCAAACATGGCCCAGTTTGCCTGGTCTACCTTCCAGCGTGGTGAACGTGTCATGAGAGAGGATGAAGGAGCAGTGCACTTTAAAATAATGGGGAAATGGTCGCTACCAATGGGTTAGGATGCACATGCCATGAGAAGTTAGGGAAAAGTGTGGCAGTCCCAATAGAGAGATCAATGCATGATGAAGAAAGGTGTTGACAGCTAAAAAAGGTAGGCTCACCAGTGTTAAAAAGACAAAGTGTTCGAGAGAATAACACAGACTCAATAATTTTTCCTCGGATGTCACGACGTGTACTCCCCCATAGAGGGTTGTGACAATTAAAATCACCCATCGAAAGGAAGGCTCAGGAAGCTGGTCTAAAAACGAATTAAAATCTGAGGATTTCAAAGTAAAGGATGGTGGTATATACAAAGAGCACACTGTCAGAGCTTTGTGAAGCATGAACCGTACAGCCACTGCTCCCAGTGAGGTAGACAGTGGGACTTGTACGCAGGGCACTTCTCTCGGGACAACTACCGCAACTCCTCCAGAAGAACCGACAGAGCAACGACGATCCTTGCGGAATACCTGGTACCGTCGAGGAAGTTGGTGTGGCTGGGATTTAAATGAGTCTCCTGTAAGCAAAGCACACGTGGCTTGTGCTCCTCCAGCAAAAACTCCACATAATCCAGGTTATGTAGTAGCCCTCGACAGTTCCACTGCATTAGCATTGAAACCATTATTAAGATATGAAATTATGATCACACGGATGAACAGTAAAAAAAAAAAAATCATCCCTTCGGAGGGATTACAGGTTTTTTAGTTTTTTGCTTGGTTTTCGGATTCTGCCACTCCATCTCCTCCTGGTCAGACTCAGGGGTAGATGGGGAGGTGGATAGGGCAGGAGCACCGCTCTCCCGAGCTCCGCAAGCAGGCTTGCCCGCCGGCTCGGGAGGGTCGGAGCTGCGAGATCCTATCCTGCGGCCACGACCAGAACCTAACGGGAGGGTGGCAGATGTACTGGGGAGGGATTCAACCCCGTCCATCTTCTCCACCTCCTTCTGTGTTACAGAAGCTGCATGAGGGCCATGCAGCTCCTTGGTTGCAGGCGGTCTCTCCAGGGAGTGAAGCCGAGCGCCTCGCTTTTTCTCCCTGGTAGGAGACCGTGCAGACTGTACAGGCGCAGCAGGCGCTGGCCTGTCTTGGGATGTGGGAGCAGCCCGCGAACCCTCTCCGCGAAGAGAGGGAGCCTGCTGCCCCTGGGTAGGCTTTGGGATCCTGAGGGCGGCAGCCAGGTCTTCGAGCAAGACCTGGGTTGCCCTCGACTCCATACGTGGCGCAGGACCCCGGCGCGCCACGTCGGCATACGAGCCTTGTGCAAGAAATGACCAGCGTTTCTTGGCCTCAAGGTATGTAATGTTCTCTTTAGCCTTTAAACTCAGTATCTCCTTTTCCTGCTTCCACAGGGGACAGGCACGGGAGTACGCTGCATGGGTGCCTTTGCAGTTGGAGCAGCACACAGTGCTTTCACAGACGTCTGCGACACGTTCGTTGCTGCCACACTTGGCGCAGCTCTCTTCCATGGCAGCTCCTGGACCCATGCCCGAACCTTTGGCACCTGAAACACCTTTGGGGGTTCGGCACATAAGGACGGACACGGCAGTTCAGATAGCCTGCCTTTACTGTTGCTGGGAGACAGTGCCGTTCAAAAAAAAAGAATAAGATGTTTTGAGGGAATCTCCTGACCCTCGCGGCGAAGTATAATCCGCTTTACTGCAATGACACCCGAGTTTCGTAGGCCTTCGAGGATCTCATCCTCACTTACATCTAGCAGGTCCTCTTCGGAGATGACACCACGCACAGTGTTCAAAGTCCTGTGCGGTGTTACCGTGACTGAGGTCTCCACGATGCTCTTCATTTTCTGAATGGTCACACTTTGCTCTTGTGTGGTGACCTCAACAAGGAGGTCCCCAGAATGCAACTTTTTTACTTGGTAGGAGTGTCCGATCAAATGCTCAAGAACCTTGGCAACAATGAACGGAGACAGCTTGGCGGCAGGGCGTTGATTGTCTTCAAAGTGGACTACAAAAAACTTAACAAAGTGTTCTGTTTCTGGTGCTTTGGCGATGACTTGTTCCGGACAGGGCCGTTTGGATGCCTGCCTGGAACCGGGTTTAGAGAGAGAGGGAGCCATAAGAGGCGGAAAGTGTTCAGAACCTGTGGTGTGCCGCCCACCACGGAGCGCAACAAGGGAATAGTTAACGGACCATAACAAAAAGGGCTTTGCTGGAACCGTTAGACTATTAGCACTGCCCAGGTACTATAACCAAGTGTGGTTTTGGACGAGGAGTCTGTCGCCACCCAAGGTTAGCCCTTGCCGCCAAAGGAAATGAAAAAAGGAAAGAAGAGAAAATGAGAAGAGTGAAAAGAAGGAGAAGACAAAGGTAAAAGAGGGGAGGGGATAGTAGAAGTGGCGACTGACTGAATCATCCTGGTCGGGCCAAGCCAGGACACCCGTCTACGGGAAGCGGGGGCCGAAGTGGTGTATTGCCTCACCCGGGGGGCCCCGAAGGGTCCAAACCTGCCCCGGGCTCGGCTCAACCACCAGGATGCCCTTTTCCCCGGACACGGGAAAGCCACGCACAGCCAGACGTGGGCGGGCGAACCCGCATGGCTCAGGGTCCGTGGAGACGCCACTCTCCAAACACCTGCTTTCACAGGTGCCCCCTGCGGGGTGAAGTCACAAAAGCAGACTGTGCTAGTTTTTTTGTATTTTTTTATCTTTAATGTCTTTGTAACTGTGCTCTTTGTTTTATGAGTTGCGTGGTGTGCATACTACTAAGGCCTAGAGCTGTTTGTGGCGCACAGTAAACAGATTGAATAAAAAAAATAGTATATCACACCCATTTTTGACTAATAATACCGCCCGCGGTGCTTCTATTCCATTTTCACGTGACATCTTGATGATTTACTTCGATTTTAGATTTCTGTAGATCTACTTCGCTTAAAAAACGTAAAGCAACCGATATACTAAAAGCATTGAATACAAAAACTTACCTCAACATTTTTGAAGATCAATTCAATGTCTTCACCGAAGATTGCCAGCAGCAGGAGCGGAGTGCTGTCATATTCGGGGGTCACATTTTTTAGAGTTTTTTTAGCATCCTCAATGTCCTTAAGGCACTTCTTCACAGCCTCGTTCTTCAGTTGACTGTAGGCGTACCTGTACAGTTGTACTCCAACCTTTTTCATGTTATCATCAAAGACTTCGCTGACGTTGAATCCGAGCAGTAGCTCTGCATGATTGAGAAAATGGTGCTCCTCAAACAGGAATGGCCAGTCCTCTTTCACCTTGCCTAACCCCTTGGAGCTGTTGATCAGTAGCCTCTGGGTTGCGTAAGTCTCACTCATGAGTTTTGTGACTAGTCTATCATCCCGAGATATCCTGCGATATTCTGTTACCAGACGTTCTCTCTTTTCATCCTGAGTGTAGGCTGTCTCTCCTGGAGGCAGCTCATCCTTCCAGGCCACGCATCCGTAGGAGTCCCGACGGTCTGTCTTTGTGGGCTGATGAAACGCATCAGGGTCGGAAGTGCTCTCTTCTGGAAGAGGTTGCGCTAGGGGCCTTTTCTTGTTATTTACACAATTCTCTAGTTTCCAGAGCAAAGTTTCAACGCCATGTCCAATAACTGTGCCTTGCAGCAGGTCTTGAAATGACAACGGATACTTAGCTACAATCTGTGAAGCAATTACCCTCAGGTGGCGCCTGCCCGGCGAGAAGCTCTCCTGGATAATTCTGTTACTCAATTGCCTCACCATTTGATTCAGGTCAGACTTTGTTGGCCTTGCATTCTTGTAGCATGCTTCCAGAAGCCTCTGTGGAAACGAATCCCATGGAATGGAGAAGTCTTCGCTCCAATTCTCGAAACGTGAGGTGCTTGGAAGAGGAACACTCGCTGTAGGTTGTGCAGCAGGTATGGGTGCCTTGGTTGTCACACTGACTTCGCGAAACCTTTCCAAAAGGATCCTTCTATTCACTGGGTTTAGGAGGTCCAGGTCGCTCTCCTCAATGTACTTTAGATGCTCCATGGTTGTTACACCGCACTCTTCTAGCTTGGGAACAACAGTTTCCACATCTTCTGATGGGAGGCTTGGCAGCCAGCTGGCAATAAGCGATGAAAGCTCCATCGAAGAGAGACAATGTAAGGAAATAATTAAATCAAATCCAAAACTGCATGCTTCAGCACCACAATGGGGCGCTGTGCTTGGCCCAGCCGGTATGCTTCAAGAGGAACATAGTCAATTATGCTGCTTGGAGTAACACATTTCAAACTTCCAGATTCACAATCATAGAGGTTATACAACTGCATTGAAGGTTCCAAGGACGACCGGGTGACTTGTACAAGGAAGCACATCGCAGGGCCTTTTGGCAGAATTAGAATTATCAGACCAAACACCAGCCGATCATCTTCTCGTGATAAGACCAGAATCATGTCCCTCCTGTACGCAAGTCCTCGGTACTCGGCATTATAGGCGTAGTAGATATCATCATGAGATCCAAAAAAATCCTTTATGACCTTTTGAATGTCATCACTGTATAGACTCAACTGAAGTCTTGATGCAGATGTCAAAGGATAGGCAGTTGGAAAGAGGCAACCAGATGCCTTGTATGCTTGGAGAAGCTGGTGTCGTTCAGCTAGGGTGGATGTGATATTTTTGAAGTTTTGACAATTTCTCGCGCATTTTCTGAAGTAACCGTGCTTGCTTTCACAGCGCATAGTCCAAACTCTTATTAATGGGCCAAACTGCATGATGAGGTAAGGATAGTGCGCAAGAAAGTGGTGCTTAGGTCGTAGAGAACAAAATGAAAAGAGCTCTAGTCTCCCCAGAAGATAATCCTCAATCAAGTCCTTCAGCCGCATTATCATTGGAAGCGAGATGGCTGGAGTGCAGATCAGCTGGACGATCTCTGAGAGCATCAACACCTGCTGCCACACAGGATCATCGAGATCTAGTACTTTGCCGAAAACAAACACAGGCAGGAACCTTAGCATGTTCCAGTTCTGAACTGCATGCCCGCTCAGCTTCTGCTTTAATTTCACTTCCGAGGGGCGATCATTTGCATCTCCTTGTTTGAAATTAAATAAGGAGATGCTTCTGTTTAACTCTTCCAGTGTGAACCACCTGCACTTGTGGACGAAGTATTGTACATACAATGCAATATCATAAGACACAACACCCTCAAACAAATTGTGACCTAGACAAGGTGGCAGGCCCGGTGCACACACATGGAAGGACCTCAAGCGATTAAACAATGAGTCAAATTTCACTCCTTCGTGAACAATGAGCGTGTCATCTTGACTCAAAATTGTTAGAGACCTGTCATAGTTGGACTTTTTGCTCAGCTCGAAAGTGCCAGTCAGATTGGACTCAACAAACATATCTTTTTCTCTGTTAAACAAAACCGACACATGTGCTTTGCTTTGCTAAAGTTCTCAACATAGCCACCTATTGTGTGGCTTCCCAGATTGTCACCAAGGATCGCCACAACAGCTCCATACAGGTTCTTGCCGTCTCTCAGCTGACAGCTTCCGTTCTCAAGCCTCTGGATGTCCTCTAGCAGTGGTGCAAATACCTTTCCTTGCCCGAAAAACTCAAAGTCGGACTCTTTACATAGAAGCACAAGTTGAATTGCGTGAATGCGTGATCTGTTCCATGGGTAGAGGTTTCCGAGCATGAAGTACACTGCAAGTATCTCGTGCTTTTTCTTTGCTGAGCCAAGGGGATTCACGACTTCAAATGCATCTTGAAACAGCAGCAACTTCACGGCATCCGACTGCTGATCAAACAAGGGAATTGACTTGTGCACTATTCCATCCACAAAGTCCCGGAGTATGCCCACTTCCGTGCTAAGTGGATTCAAACACTGACTGACAACTGACTCATCATACAGCAATGCCTTGAGAGTGTCAATTATTGGGACGTAATGAAACGTAGCATCTTGATTTTTCTTGTTTTTTCCCAACAGGATCGCTACAGGCTCTACATAACTGAACCTCTCCTTGAAGTATTCTTTACGGGCGTATGGTGACCGTAGCACACCTGAGCTGCTGTGTGCTTTGAGTATCTGGTCATTGTCAGATAAGAGGTGTAGGACTTCCTGAGATGTGCTGTCACTAATTCCAACAGAATCCAGTTTTCTTCTTAATTCTGATAACATTTGCTCCAAATTATTGTTCTGCAAGTCAAAGAACGCCTCACTGATAATTTGCACTGTGGACGATGGCACCAGATGCTCGGACAGAAGACGTAGATACAGGAGTCCAAAAGCATCAATTACTTGACTCTGATTTCTCACAAAGTCACCGTTCGATTGAGACCCCACATCACATGACGCACCAACCTCCTGATCAGGAGAATGATCGAAGTTGTCGAGACATCTCTGTTCATCTACGTGAACCTGTTGCATTCCAAATCGGTGACAGCGTGATATATGAGATTCAAACGATGACTTCTTCTTGTAGGTCCTAGCGCATCCAGGGAAAGGGCATGTAATCGTCTCCAGTTGTAAAATGTGACCTTTCAGGCGACAGATTAGTGACTTCAAATTGCTGCAGACTTGAAGACAAGTGGCTACACTGCACGCAAGTGGAACAGCCTCGTGAAGCAGAGCAAGGGGTGCCTCAAATCTACTCCAGTATTTGTGGTCACGTGACAGGTGGCTATAGACGGAACCAATCTTCCTGAATACCCTCTTGCATCCTGAGAGGGGGCACTGAATCTGCATGTTGCTGGCATTCTTATGCAATGTAACATGCTTCAGAAAGAGTGATAAACCGGTACAGCAGCAATGAGAAATGCTGCAGGTGTACATTGCACTGAAAAAAAATTTTATTGAATTAGATAAGTACTCCGCAGTAAAGATAAACAAAAATGCAGAACCAGTCATTCAATTGATTTGTTTAGAGGTAGCTGGTCTGGATGCTAAATGGTCTCTTGTGAAACTGTTATAATGCAAAAAAAAAAAAGACAAAGGGTAAAGGCAAGAAAAAGGCAAACAATTCTGTCAACACCTGTAAAAGGGGCGTGACAGTTCTGCATCATACTTACTTTGGCTTTCATTAAATTCACTGTTCTGAAAGTTGACACAACTGCTAAATCTGGTCATAACGAGGTCATGTGGTTTATGCATGCAATGTCGTGACATATTTTCTGAGAATCTATGGGCACGCAGGCATTTTTTTGCATGTTTCGAATTTTCGAAAGACTTGGAGGTGCTGGCAATTTTACCGAATTAATAAAAAAAAATATTTTTTTCTTGGCCAACCTTGTTTTGACACGCGAAGTATTTTGCTGTTTTGATCTGTCTGCATGTAGACCCTTGGCTACAGAGCAGCAAGGCGATCGTTGGGATAGCACCGGACATAACTGTGTGCTCCTTGTTTATATCTTTTTACATATCCTCAAATGCGACTGCTTGTGGCAGTTACAGCGTTACAGAGGCTTGCCAACACAAATTGAGGAGGGCTTGACACAGTTGAGGTCCATAACCTCTGGGATGGTGTGCAATGTAATGAGCACCGTCCCGGACGTCAGGGGACAAGGAGATAGGTACAAAGAGGGCAGTCCTGGAGGCTAACAGGACAATCCGGAGACTGAGCTTTAAGAACGGATATGAAGTTACGAATGTGAACAGGGAGATATATCAGGATAGGCCGATTCCCCTCCTTCTGCCGAGGCGGCAGCCACTATGGGGAACTCACAGGGATGCGGATGAGGCGGAGGATGGGCTCTTGGGCAAAGGCTTTTTTAAAGGCCGACAGAGGTTTCGGGCAGCTGGGGGTTCTAATGCGAATAGAAAGGTTGCGAGGAAGCAACTTTCCGGCGTGAAAAAAGCGCCGAAGGTTGCCGGCGCTTGCCGGAGAACAGCCACCCGAACACCGCGCGTTTGGCTGATCCTGACCACGCGAACGCTTTTGCCGGACATTGACCACTTGAATTCACCATTAACTTCATAGTAATAGTTATAAAATATTATGAAACCAACTTCCTTAATAAAGACAATTCTACCTCTTTCATAAGGACATCGGGGAAAATGTCCTATCTGTTATGCTAGGCACACGTATGCAGATACAAATCGAAATGTTCTTAAACGTATAGTATTCGCAAGTTCCAGCATTAGTCGGTATCGTGGAAAGTGAGTCGAATCTGCTCTCTTCTGATCATTGCCCTGCTAGAGACGTGAATCATTTCAAGCAGCGCCAACTGTGATGCTGCTATCGAAGGGTTAATGCCTATAAATACGTAAGAAATGTCCTCCCGCAAAGATAGAACAGGATTCCGATGCGGAT